AGTTGCTGCTTCAGTGCACTTGTTAGTGTGCAGTTGTACTTTATGATTTGCAGGTAACTTTTGAGATCGATGTAAACGGCATCCTCAAGGTTTCCGCCGAGGATAAGGGAACTGGTAACAAGGAAAAAATCACTATTACGAACGATCATAACCGTCTCACGCCCGAAGATATCGAGAAGATGATCAAGGACGCCGAGAGGTTTGCTGACGATGACAAGAAAGTCAAAGAGAAGGTTGAAGCAAAGAACGAGCTTGAGTCGTATGCCTATTCTCTAAAGACTCAATTAAATGACAAAGAAAAACTTGGCGGAAAACTAAGCGACGACGACAAGAAGTCGGTAGAAGAAGCTGTCGAAAGGGCAATCAAATGGCTAGACTCAAACGCCGACGCGGAGGCTGAGGATATGAAAGCTCAGAAGAAGGAGCTGGAGTCAGTCGTGCATCCAATTATCTCTAAAATTTATCAAGGTGCTGGAGGACCCTCGCCAGGTGGTGACGGCGATGATGCTAGCAAAGATGAGCTGTAAGCGGGAATGTGCGAGAAAATAATCAATAAGCAAAGACTTATCGTTACTCTGTCGAGGTGGTCCGCTGCAACATCAGGACCGTGGGCATAAACAAACGAGCCCTGAGAAATTTTATATTTATATTACTTTTAGGTTCAATTGGCGGGTGCTGGAGTTTACATCCGGACGTGGTGGACGGTAAATGAGAAAGATATTAATTTTAAAAGCGCATTCTCTACGTTTAGTGGTACCCAAAAAAAAGATACAATAAAATAATTCATTCAAAAGAGCTTTACGAAGCTTTACGTTTAATGGTACCCAAAGAAGCGCGGGGTGGTCTCCTTTGTAAATAAGCATTGTAATAAACATAATGGTTAACAATTAAAAATAAACATAATGGTAAAAATAAAAAGGAATGCGATACGGAAGTTTTTAATTTTATCTTTGTTTTTATTTGTTTTTTTTCCAAAATAGTGCTATGTAGCTAAATCTTTTTTTCATTTTTGTTTTTTTTCCAAGGAATGCGATACGGAAGTTTTTAATTTAATAAAAAGGAATGCGATACGGAAGTTAACTTTATCTTTGTTTTTATTTGTTTTTTTTCCAAAATAGTGCTATGTAGCGAAATCTTTTTTTATTTTCATTTTTTTAAAATTTTTTTTCCGAGGAATGCGATACGGAAGTTTTTAATTTTATCTTTGTTTTTATTTTTGTTTTTTTCCAAAATAGTGCTATGTAGCTAAATCTTTTTTTTTATTTTTGTTTTTTTCAAAATAGTGCTATCTAGCTGAATATCTTTGTTTTTATTTTTGTTCTTTTCTCCCAAAATAGTGCTATGCTTCTAAATAGTGTTGTGGTGCTACGTTTCTAAATAGTGCTATGTAGCTAAATAGCTTTACATTTCTGTTGAATTTTTCTTTTTAATTTTTCTCTTAAATTTTTCCTTGTTTAATATTTCTCTAAATTTTTCTTTGTTTAATTTTTCTCTTTAATTTTTATTTGTTTTCTTAAATTTCTCTCTCTAAATTTTTCTTTGTTTAATTTTTCTCTTTAATTTTTATTTGTTTTCTTAAATTTCTCTCTTAAATAGTGCTATGTAGCTAAATAGCTTTAAGTTTTTTCTCATAAATTTTTGTCTCTTTAATTTTTATTCATGTAAATTTTTCTTTTAAAGAGCGCTGTGTAGCTAAATAGCTTTCATTTTTATTTGTTTAATTTTTCGCTTAAATTTTTCTCTTAAATACTGTTATATTTTTGTAGCTGCGTAGCTAAATAGTGTTAATTTTAATTTGTTTAATTTTTCGCTTAAATTTTTCTCTTAAATAGTGCTATGTTTAACTAGCTAAGTAGCTAAATAGTGTTAATTTTTATTTGCTTAATTTTTCCGTCAAATTTTATATTTGTTTTTATTGTTGTTTTTTTTTCACCTAAATAGTGCCATGTCGATAAAGCTTTAAATTTTTATTTGTTTAATTTTTCTCTTAGATAGCACTATGTTTCAGTAGCTAAATAGTACTGTCTTTCAGAAGCTTTTTATTTCTATTTGTAGTGCTATGTTTCAATTATATTCCAATAATAATAATAATAATATAATGAAATATAACTAATGTTTCTATAATCTGTTTCCATTTATTCATTTTTTCTCTAATTATTTCAGCTAAAAATATTTCGTGTAGTTAAGGGGCAGATATGGGAAAAAACACAACCCACAGTTCGGTAAAGTTTTATAATAAACGATGTTTTGTTTATTATTCACAGCAGAATAATATTAGTACCAAAATTACAATAGGTCCCGTTTCGAGAATGGCTCTGTCGTCCCGATTTGCAACCGTTGTTACTGTTACTCATGTCCATCCTCGCACAGTTTTCATCGGATATCAGCCATTCGTCACCGTCATCGTCGTCATTATAGATCATTATCATTATCTCCGTCATCATCATCATCATCATCATGGTCATGTTTTATGTCAATATAAGATTATCTCATCAATTACATTATCGACGCTTTCAATCGTGATTATAATGCCATTTGCATCCTGTCCTTCGTAATCGTTTTGGTGGTGGAGTAATATATTTGTCATGTTTCAAGATTGTTTTTTATTCATGATTTTGCTGTCACGTCTATAATCGAGTTCCACTTATAGTTTTCTTGGTTTTTGTATGAGCGTAGGACAGTGTATAACGTATTGTACTGGAAATGAATACAGAAAAATAACTACTAAAGTAATTTGCCACCTCAGTCAACCATCCCAACGGACCAACTGATACCGTTGCTGATGATGCACCGAATCCATGTGTTTCACATCTGCTGACTACTTTCCGTTGTTCCCGGCTCTCGCACTTCTTTTGCCTAGCTCGAGGATGAACGAGAAGATTAAGTACAACAACAACAATAACTCTGGTTTTTACATCGCTGCAACGATACGGTCTGGCGGTGGCGATGGCGATGGCGCTGACGATGTTCGTTGCCACATATTTCAATATAGTGCCGGTAGAAATAGTAATCATAATAAAATGTAGAACAACACAGGAAACAGTAACGCTAAACGGTCGCTATTCGCCCCATCTCAACTAAAATAAATTATCTCATCATTATTCTTACTAATAATCTGTCATCAATAGTATTTACGCAATAGTAAACATCACGTAATGTATTAATAATAGCAATAGTTATCGCAAACAATAATATTATACTTTTATATATTTTTATAATATAATAAGCAGCGGCCGACCAGCTCATTGTGTTTATTTTTATAGCCTAGGCCGTGTCTCTGTACTAAAGCCATTCTCTGTGGTCTGCATTATTCTACTACATAGATAATTCTAGCTCTGCCATTCGTCATCTCTTTGTATTCTCCTATATATA